GTGATGGGGGATCAGGGTACACCTGTGATGGGGATCAGGGTACACTTGTGATGACGGGATCAAGGTACACCTGTGATGAGGGATCAGGGTTCACCTGTGATGGGGGATCAGGGTACACCTGTGATGAGGGATCAGGGTACACCTGTGATGAGGAATCAAGGGTACACCTGTGATGAGGGATCAGGGTACACCTGTGATGGGGGATCAGGGTACACCTTGAAGGGGGATAAGATTCCTGTCGTCAGCTCGGTAAAGAATGAAGCATGACCCATAATTGAAGTGTGCTTCCCATCTCAAGACTTATCTACTTCATTTTTAAAACGTCGAATTCGATATTCTGGCTTCAGAATTGAGCATCCTGCTCAGATGCTGAGAACGTGGGTACGCCGTCGGACTGTTCTTATCGGTCTTGACGTGGGTGGGGATGGGGGTTTGGGGTGACCACTGCTTGCGGGTGACCACTACAGGGGCGGTCTATAAATTGATTGTTTTGCTGAAAACGTCGCCATATTGGCCAAATGGTGCTTCTACGGGCGTTGAAGGGCCAGGTAACGTCACGCAGAGACGCACCTGACTGAAGCATACATACAGCCCTCCACCTGTCATTTTCCCGAGTCGTGGCATGTCGAACTTGTTCCAGAACGATGAAACGAAGGTGTTTCTTGCTAATTCTAATATCTAATATTCATTTTAACACTCTCTTTCTCTGATTTAAACCTAAAACTTCATTCGGAGTTTAGCAATATTCCAGCGCTGTCATGGCGGGGGTCACCAGAAATGGGCTTCACACATGGTACCCGTGTGGGGAATCAAACCGGGTCCTTGGCGTGACGAGCGAACGCTTTAACCACTCTGCTACCCCACCACTCACTTCATTCAGAAGAGTACCAAAGAAAATATTCCATGTAAAAAGCTTTGTCTTTGATTATATCTATTGCCCAAATATTTTACTCAGTGTTCGCGGTAGATTTTGTACCAGTGCATGCAGAAATAAAATTATATATATGCGTGTGAAATTGTCATTACAATGACATCATTATCATAACAAATAATTTTAATTATAACCTATGACTACTAATGATGTCGACTGCTAAGACATAAACGACTTCTATGGATAATTTTAATAATATGGATGTTATTGTTATGTAATCCGTGTATGTATTAAATATATTCTTGTGTAATGTTTGTGACAATTCTTATTATCTATTTGAATGCCAATTATATTCAGTTTAGACAGAAATGTCTAATTACACAGTATTGTCAATAACAATATAAACTGTAAATCAGAATCTGTGCGTGCAGAACACGCACGAAAAATATGTTTTGCGTGTTTTTATGATGTTGGGCGTGAAAAACGCAGGTTTCTGCGGTAACGCGAACACCGTTTTACTCTATAACCTACTTACCGTGTACAGTACAGATTCACTGACCATAATACACACCTGTATTCTTCCGACCACGTAAAGACTGATCGACTGAGTTTGCCGCAAACATTCTGGCTATTACTCCAAGGCAGTCGGGTTTCTCGTGGAAAAAACATCATTTATCTGCCTCACTATCTAAAGACTTCATAGAAATGACCGTGTTGTCACATCGGCAGTAGACCCTTACTCACATTTTCACAATGTGCACCATTGACGTTAAGAAAACTGTCGTTGTGATCATTTGAAAGAAGTAGCAGTTGTTGACATGAATGTAACGACATGCATGAATTCTTTCCAACACAGCGTCTTACATTTGAACACACACTTGATCATATATTGACAATATATATGCTGTAAAGTGTTTCTTCTTTCTGTCTTTCTCGTCAAGCACTGACGCTTGACATCACGCAGAAATGAATAAGAAATTACTTACCCTCGGGCTATTTGTGCAAAAATAACAATATATCCAGAGCACTTGGAAAATTGTAAGGTCATGTTTGTGGGTTTTGAACTATCCAGACCTGTGAGGTTTGAACATTATATCATGGATACATAAAACGTATTTGAATCACGGGATGTGAACAGTGAAGATACGATCATTTTATGGATAGATCATTTCACATTATGGGAACTTTGTAATACACGGAGCAACGTACATGTAAGTATTTAAAATAACACGTTGCATATCGATAATGTAGTGGCGTATTATGAGTAGCAAGCATGTAGTATGTTGATATTGCTACGTCTATCATTAATAACTAACAGGTTGCATGTCGATATGCTAATTAGAAGTTTATAAATGACATTTTACATGTTGATATTTCCATAATGCCACAGTGTTAGCAGTGTCGGTGAAACAGAAACACGTCATTACGTCAGCATTGTGGAGTAGGTAAGTGAGTGAGTGAGTGAGTTTAGTTTTACGCCTTTTTTAGCAATATTCAAACAATGTCACGGCGGGAGATAGAAATGGGCTTCACACATTGTACCCATGTGAGGAATCGACCCCGGTGTAGCAGCCCAGAATACCCCCCACCAGATTATACCCCGGGGTAAACTATGGGCTAGCCCAGTTTGTATCCAGGGGGTATATTCTGGACCAGGCCAAAGTATACCCCTCCAACCCAGACAATACCCTTAAAAAAATTATGTTGACAATTCACTCAATATGAGTGTGTGACTCAGGGCAATGGTCTTGGTGTCATTTAAAGGAATTTGTACGTGCATTTTATTTACATTACTGCATAATACAAAATTCATGAAGCATTTGTTTAGTGCCTCTCTGCGATGTGATATTTTCGACTTTGCGTAACCCAGCCATGCTGATATATCATCAAGGTTAGTAGTTAGTTATCTGCTTTATCTGCTTTAACTAAGGTATTTCGGCGACGGGGAATTACACTTATTAAGAAATGAGGTGGAACCAAAAATAGAAAATTTGAGAGAAAACTGATTTGAAAAGTTTAAAAAACATATATACATATTTATAACAATTTTAAGATGGTAAAAAGTGGAATTATTCTATTATTGTTTTGGGAAATTTGATGGTCTATGGAGATCATCAAGGTGTTTGTGGAATTATTTTATACCTACCTTCTTGTTGTGACATAAATTAGTTTGACTTTTAGAGAGAAAACATATAAGTTAAAAAAATTAAACAAAACATTTTGACAAGTGTTAAACCAATCAAATGTGAAATGAGAAAGATTAAACCACATGCTACAAACTAAAACATTTCCTGAACCAAAATGTCAATGAGTACATCACAGATTCGGGAATTTCACGAGATGGAGTGTGGGCAACAGATGCAGAAGTTATGTCAACAGCCAGTCTGTTAAAATGTGACATTTATATTTACAGTGCAGTTGGTCAGTCAATGCAATGGCTGATGTACCCTGCCAGCTTCAGCTTGAAAACTCACACTGATTATGCTTTGTATCTGGAAAATGTATCGGACCATTTCAATGTTGTAACCAGTGTTTAATTGTGTGAGAAGTACAATAAAATTATAGTAGTATCCTTAATCACTTGTTTTCTGTAGGGGTATAATCTGGGCCTGGTGTGTGTGTGTGTGTGTGTGTGTGTGTGTGTGTGTGTGTGTGTGTGTGTGTGTGTGTGTGTGTGTGTGTGTGTGTGTGTGATATACTATGGCCTAGTTCAGAATATACCCCGGGGTATAAACTAGGCTAGCCCAGATTATACCTGGGGTATAGTCTGGGCTAGCCCAGTTTAACCCCGGGTATAGTCTGGGACAGGGGTATACTCTGGCCTGTTACACCGGGTCTTCGGCGAACGCTTTGACCACTAGGCTACCCACTGCCCCTGTGGCGTATGTTCCTCCACCTTTAATACGACAGTATTATTGAAGACATTATTTCCCTCGCTCGGCATCTTTGCGGTATCGTTATGAACCCTGTCGAACGTTTTATGGTAGTCTCAAACATCATACGGTCTTGTCAATCGCTAGAGTCACAGTGGAAGAGAATGAGAAATTGAAAGGGTGAATTCTGTTCTGATGTGCCCAACTATAGCGTCTAAAGCCGTATAAATACTAAATGCTTTGGTAAACGTTCAGTTTGTTCCAAATGGCAGAGGTGGTAGAACTTTAGTGTTTCAGAGATATAAGTTTCGAATTAAGACTAGCAAGCGTGACACAACACATTGGAGACATCCTCCTAGTGGAGAGACGATTAACACCAGGGACGACTTGATCACAAGCTACAGAGATGTCCATAACCATGCCAGAATGGATTTTTATGTTCAGCATACATTGTCTTTCTAATTAACATGGTCTGGTGATCCGCTTAACCCCTAAATAAACAACTTGCAAAAGAGGAACACCCCAAATAGATCAATAGTGTAACTGAACAAACCGATCTACAGGCAAGGTGACAAGACCAGCCTAGTGCACCAGCACCTAAAGCCTAGCTGTTGCCAGCTCAACAGCCGAGTCGAGCCCATCCCGGGAATAAGGACGTTAAAAAGACCGGGATATCGTGTGGTTGATCAGGGCCCCATACACACAACAATGGGCCGTTTTTAACAGGCGACAAGAATAGACTCCTAGTACGCCATGACGCTATTGTTTGTGGAGGCGGATGTAATAGTGATCCGGTTTAGAGACTCCGTATGTTCTAACTGTAAGGTCCAATGATTATAGGCGACTATAAAGACCTGTGTGTATAGGCTCGGTGACTTGGAGAATCTTCTTACCTCAAACATGTGGACCGTAGCTCACTATATTTACAAACCGCGATCGTACATGTGAGGCGTTAAGCACCTTTAACCCTATAAACAACAACAACAACAACAACAACAACAACAATATCAGTTGGATTATGTTTATGAGACAGTGTGATGTCATTCTATAAGTTAAGAAAAGCTCCAATACTGAACATTTAACAACCTTTAGCAGCTGCGTTCATACAGGTGAGGCGTTAAGCGCCAGACCAGCTGAAAACAACAAAAACAACAACTACAACAACAATATCAGTTGGATTATGTTTATGAGAAACTGTGATGTCATTCTATGAGTTAAGTTCCAATACTGAACATTTACATTCCTTATTTTTGAAGTTACAACATACGATGGGGTGTACCTCCTCAAAGTACGACGACGACTATTTCCACGACATCAACGATGAAGAAGCCTGGGAGGACGACTTTGATCAGGACGCAAAAGAGCAGTACACAGACGACCCTCAGAACTTGAACCTAAAGCACTACACGGTGGACTTCAGAACGTCATCGGGGTCAAATGACGTCAAGCCACGCCGTCCCGAAGTCCCCCCTGGTCAGATGTGGACAGACATGGACTTTACTCTCCCAATAGCAATAAAAGAATACGAGAAGCTAAAACTGGATTGGAAGAGACCGCAGGTACTAATAACATGGTATAGTAATTAGGTTATCTTTTAAGCGTTTAGTTTTGGATTGACTTGGCTTTGCATGTGTTTGTGACGGGTTTCACTGGCGGGGAAGGGCACGCTAGCCTTTTTGTGAACACCTGGTGTCACTTCTTCTTGATAGTGTTTCAGAAACACGTGCATGCGGCAATCGGAATCGTGCAATCGACTTTTCTTTTAAGCATGAAAAATGTCTTGTTTTATTCAGGCATTGGTTTAATTGTTGAAGATATTCAGTTTTACCACCACAGTTACCGCCTCATCTCTTTCGTGTTTGCTCAAAGGTTGAGAGTGACAGTGAACTATGATGGTGACTTTCCAAATTTCCTATTACAATGCAACCGCAGCTGCAACATCTGAGATATTTGGGACTTATTTTGTTATCGTAAATTTTCCTTTTTGTAAGCCCAGAATAAAAACCAAATGATGTGACGTGATTGGGATTAAACAGCAGATCATAATGCCTTCTATTTCTGCCCAGCCAGGGTAACAACAATTCCCATCTTTAAAATCTGGTATTCTGCAGACTGTACGATAAAGGTGGGCAATGGCATACACCATTGTTCAGACATTTCTCTATTTTACTCTGAAGATACTCAATTTCCTTGGGATGATACGTTATGGGGCACTTACGGATAGTTGAATGGGATATGCATGCTGTATCACCTTGTTCCGAGTGTATTTCTGTTGTGTGCGTTAACGTGGGATGTGTCGTATACATGTCTGTGTATGAACAAATATTAAGTAAAGTTATTGAGATGCCTTGAATTCAAGCACACACATGAAACATTCTGCCGTAATAATAAGACATCTGTTCCAGACGCATCTTGAAAATAGAAGCGACAAGTCACATCCATAAGAAGTCTCTGCTAAAAGCGAAGCCGAGCATGTGTTTGTTTGCTTGTTTGTTTAACACCTCACTAAGCAATATTACAGCTGTATGGCGGCGGTCTAGACCAGCTAATCAAGTGACGGACATCATGAGATACGATGACTGAGCCATCCTCGATAATCCCCAGGGTATAGGTTACGATCACTCTCCACTATACCCTGGATGCATCCACGGCTTGGCCCGATAATTATATTACCTCCCTTTGCTGGCTCCGCATTCTCACAGTATCCAATCAGCTAAGCCGCCGTTACATCCGAGCTTGCCAATGTCAAAAAGAGATAGCGGCCGCAGCCGCGAAGGTTTGTTCACAGTGCCACTCAGATTGTTTAGGAAATAATAAAGACAAATTGACAGATCTGAAACTTTCAAAATATATATAAAAGAACTCCTTCCACCTCTTTCAGAGTACCTCTGCATCAATTATGTTGCCAAGTTTAAACGGTTAGATAATTTAAGAAGCGAAAGTGATTTGTGACTGGTTCGCTCAACTTCCCAGCGTAGACACCTGATTGGACAAAAAAGCCAGCAAAGGGAGGTAATACAAATCATCGGGCCAAGCCGTGGATGCATCCAGGGTATAGTGGAGATTGATCGTAACGTATACCCTGGAGATTATCGAGGATGTGACTGAGGATGTGTACATGAATCACTATAGTGATTATACGTACGCTTCAGAGACTTTAAGGGCATGATGGGTAGTTATCTTATCTAAACTGTTGTTCAGCCATACATTTCTATTTGATACCAAATCTTATTTGATATCGAATTTTGTATCTTTCTATATTACTTGCCCGAGTATCGAGTTACAGCGACTGAATGGTATACATCACACTACTGAATTGTCTTTATATATGAAGCTCATGTGTCACACATTAAAGGACTGTTTCGATGTAATTTTGTGTTCCAATCATTATCGACCCGTAAACACCGTCAGCAACCCATACTTGTCGTAAGACACGACTAACGGGATATGGCAGTCAGGCTCGATGACGTGGTGGATGCATGTCATCGTATCCCCACTGCATAGATCGATGCTCATGATGTCAATCACTGGATTGTCTGGTCCAGACTCGATTATTTGTAGACCGCGATGATATAGCTGGATAATTGCAACAAATGAATAATCCCACCAATTCAACAACGTCATAATTGTTACTAATGCTAGATACGGCGAGAGCATTATGCTCTCTATCCCGATTTTCTTATTAATTCTATTGTGATATTTTATAGGAAATCGTTCGTAATCCCGTTCTCTTTGCTGATGGGACTTCAAGATTCGACATCAAACAACGGAGCTTTGGAACGTGTTGGTTCCTGTCCATGATGGCAAACCTTGGTGACAAGCCTGACCTCTGTAGGAAGGTAACCTATCACCATGAGTCATTTAATGTTGTCGTCAACACGTTACAATACACATCTATTGCTACGCTGAAATGTGGTCCAAATATTTGACGTCAGTGGAATTCGAGTGTCTGACAGGACTGGGTGGTCAATCTGATCCCGGCATTTTACTGTTAGTTCTTCTACGGCCTTCGTGAAGATTGGAGACTGTGAGTGAGTGAGTGAGTTTAGTTTTACGCCACTTTTATTAATATTACCACAATATCACGGCCATGGACACTAGGAATGGGCTTCACAGGTTGTACCCATGTGGGGAATCGAACCCGGATCTTTGTCGTAACGAGCGAACGCTTCATCCACTAGGTTACTGGATATAGAGTTAGAGTGAATGAAATGGCCAAGCCACATGACAAAACATTATGTGGCAATGGATAAGTCATATATTTAATTATCACGACACTTATAAATATGGAACTGCTTCATGCAATAATTCAGGTGATCAACGAGGATTCGTACACTCCAAGAACTGACGGGATCTGTCACTGTCGACTGTGGAGGTTCGGGGAGTGGGAGGACGTGTACATGGACGACTACCTCCCCGTGTTTGCCGGCAGCAGGTGCTTGTACGGAGCACTATCTGGGACGGACACCAACGAGATGTGGGTCTCACTACTGGAGAAGGCACTGGCCAGGTAACCCAGCCATTGCCCCACACGTAGTGCCGTAATTTTTTTATTAGCGTTTTACCAGGATTAGAATAGGTTACCTGTCCTTCACGAAGACGTTTTAGTATAATATGGGTCTAATTTGCAGTAAATATTTATTGTTTTCCTGTTTCGGATCGGGGTTCGAACTCATAGCTGTATGTCGTAAGATGTCACTGAAATGAATTCCGTGATCAGTGATCTTACCCCATGATGTAGATCTTTGCTAATTATGTCAATCACTGTCTTTTTTTTCATCCCAGACTCAGTTATTTACAAGCTGCATTTACCCGTGAAGATTTGATATCCACTAACCCATGCTTGTCGTAAGAGGTGACTAACGGGATCGGGTGGTCAGGATCACTCACTTGGTTGACACCTGCCATCGTATCCCATATAGTTGGAATATTGCTGAGTGAGGCACTGATAAAGTTGGAATTTCTGTTTCTGCGCCGAACGACAAATAGAAACTTGAACATTTAGTGAGTGAGTGAGTGAGTTTGGTTTTACGCTGCTTTTAGCAATATTCCAGCGATATCACGGCGGGGGACACCAGAAATGGGCTTCACACATTGTACCCATGTGGGGAATCGAACCCAGGTCTTCGGCGTGACGAGCGAACACATTTACCACTAGGCTACCCCGCCAGCCTAACATTTAGATCTTTGATGGATTCATATTGAACCGTTTAAACAAAAACGAAACGCGCATTACAATATGCGGGTGGGATTTAAGATGGTATTGTTGTCCAACAAACCATCTGCATCTGTGCTCTGAACTGCATCTGTTTTATAGGCTGCATGGTTCGTACAACGTGGTGAGCGATGAGGGTGGTTACCCTAGCGACGCCTACATCACCCTGACAGGTGGCGTGGCAGAGAGAGTCAGCTTTAACTACGATGATCCTGACCCTACCGAGCTGTTCCGTCGTCTCAGGAACGCCCTTCGTACGGGCGCTTTGGTCACTTGTGCAGTTCCGGTAGGTCTCTCGCGCCCATTTTATATCTCAGCTTCAAAGTCCTGCATGGGACGCAGTTGCCCAATTGTACATGTTGACACATGCACTTTAGGTCATCACCATGGAGTAGCCAATCACGGAGCTAGAATTCGATCTCCGACATGTTTCGTTATAGTTATCTGTAAATGGTTTAACACTATCAGGTGTTTCGTGTCAGTGAGCCAGTTGAGTGGTCCATGCGATGTATGTCTCCCATCAGGATACAGATACACAAGCATAGGTTCCCAGGGAGGTATCTTAATCAGGAATCCATGTGGGTTCGAATCCAAATTCACCCTGATCATGTGTCTAGGTTTATCAGATCAGTCCCAGTATGAAGTTCTTGACGGGCATTTAAAAGTGGGACGAACATCAATACATGACACGTTTTTGATGAATAAAAAAAAGTTGCTATCCATAAACACGTGTCACGTATTCAGTCACAGTAATTTCATCAAAGTTCTAATTCTAAGACCACCCCCTCTGGCACCCTGCAGCATTAAACAGACGTAATATAATAATTATTACTGTTGGAAGAGACGCTTCGACACTCACTCTCACTCCGTCATAGAGTTTTACGACATATACTGAGAGAAACAAATAAAGGATCATAGGAAAATTCAAGCGTTCCTTAAATATTTCCCAGTTTTCATCACCAGCTTTGAATAGCGCTGTGGCGACGAAAACTGGAAAATAATATATATATCCAATTCACTGGATGCAATATTTCAATCTTGTATATTGCAGTCCAAGTTCGATGGCAAGGTGGGGCTGGTGGGAGGACATGCCTATTCCTTGACAGGAGCCTATGTGGTAAGTTTAAACATCGTTTGAGGATATGCGTACCTATTTCATTTCAATGTTGAGACTCATTTTCCATCAATGTCATGCTGAAAGACCTTAGGATAGCATTGTTCCATCAAGCCAAGTCTGTGGCTTTAACTCCCTTATCGGGGGCCATTTGGTTGTCCATTATTTGTGAGACTTCAACACTGACCAGTGTCGGTGAGTTGGGTCAACTCCGGCTACTCCGCTGCGGACATTGCATGAAATCACTGTAAATAGCAACGTCAGAGCTTGTATGACATGGCGTCCATTTTGGACAAAGATATTTCTGTTCTTAACATTATCATGTTAAACCAGTCTAAGTTAGCTGAGGCTCAGTACTATTCGCTATACTGCTATGTGTATACTGAGTCTCAGTATATCAGTGTAACGAATAACACTGAGGCTAAGTCTACTTAGGCTCCAGGTTAAACACACTGAAAAGAAGATAGGCGAACGAACACAGTTAAAGTTATACAATTTTCATGAGTGAACCAGTTTATGTAGACGAGTGCGATTTGATATACTCACGTGCACGAAACTAAATCCAAGATGGATTCCTAGCCGAAATTCTATTGAGTCATTTTTGGGCGCAACAGTGATATAGCCGCTCACTACCGTCGTGTTATGTATATGTATCTTGTCCGAGGTCTGTCATTCAAGTTATGTTCAAGGTGACCAGAAGTGACGGAGAGAAGGTTCCCTTAGTGAGGATACGCAATCCTCATGGTACACACGAATGGCAGGGGAAGTGGAGCGATAGGTTAGTGACTCTGTTACTTCCTGGAGATAGGTCACCTTTAAATACGTATATGTAGTGAGTGAGTTAACATTTTATATCGTACGGCAAATTCGTGACGATAAATAGGTATACAAGTATACTGAGAATACATATAATTATACTTTTTAAATGCTGTCGTCAAAGGACAACTAGATTATCACAGATTAAAATTGAATCTAGTTTGAGATCATTTTAAAATGCGTAATACAACAAAAACAATATAAAATCGGACAATATTACGGCGGGAGACAGTAGAAGTGCCTTTACACATTGTACCCATGTGGGAGTGGGAGTGAGTGCGTGAGTTCAGTTTTACGCCACACTTAGCGATATTCCAGCTATATGGCGGCGGTCTGTAAATAATCGAGTCTGGACCAGGCAATCCAGTGATTAACAGCATGAGTATCAATCTACACAACTGGGATACGATGGCATGTGTCAGCCAAATCAGCGAGCCTGACCAACCGATCACGTAAGTCGCCTCTTACGACAAGTATACCCATGGGGGGATCTAACTCGGGTCTTTCGCCTGACAAGCGAACGCTTAAACCACGAGGCTTCCCCACCACACCACACCTACATGGATATATTTCAAGATGGCTGAGCTTCAATGATCCAGTCATATCATTTCCATCACTGTGGACGCCCATTGGACAATGTTCATGCGGATGGTTGAGACCGGAAGCTTCTGACGTTGACTGTGTTTAGTGTTCTGTTGGAAGTGGTGTTTCTGTCGGAAGAAGTTTAAGTTTTTCTTTACAAAATGTTTTTTTCAGGAGCAGAGAGTGGGGGGAATTGTCCGAGGGAATCCAAATACAAAGAAACAAAAACGACGGAGAGTTCTGGATAAACTTGGAAGACTTTCTCCATTATTTTGACCAAACTACAATTTGCTCGCTGACTCCAGATTTTGACATTGATGGAAGATCAGATGGTCTCAGTGAGTAATCTATATAGTATGTGATAACAAAAGTGTCGTTTTATTTGATAAAGACCACCATTCATAAATGCATTCAATTTGGTAAAAATGATTAATATTGAATGATGGTCTACTATGAAATTGCAAACTTTGGTAAACCATGGCAGAAAATATAGTTGTACCTCCAAATTAACACCGTTTTCGATTCCCATGTGTACCTTATCAGCGCTTAAAGTTGTACAACTGTTATGTACACTTGGAAACTGGATCTTTCAAACAATTTAAATCGTTTAAACGTGAGGCTGAAATATTTGCCGGTATGTAAACTACCCGAATGAAATACAAGACATCGAATCACCATTTCGTGTTAGTTTACGTTTTAGTCAACCTCAAATGTGTCTGTATACTTTCTTTTGTCCGGTACTGTATATAGGTTATAGTTGTTCTTCTGGGACATGTCTGCCATTATTCTGCAACAGATCATGTACTGAGGATATTCGGGGAGTGGCGAGGAGGAGTGGGCCAAGGGGGCACCTTAAGGGCTCGAGTCAGGAACCCCCGGTTTGCATTTACAGTTCCAGAAGAAGGTTGGTTCTATTGTCAAATTGTGAAAGAATGATGTCATTGTTCATAAGTCTGATTGGCACCTCGTAAATTAATCCTGAATATATATTAGTTTCAGACCAAATAAGAATGGTATTCATGGTATCATTCATTCACTCAGCTCGTTGATGATATTTTCTGAAAGCTGGACTTTCGTTGTCAGGTTTAACAGAGGATGGATATGTTCCTATCGTTGTGCAGATAATACAGAAGGCTCACCACCTGGATTATGAATCTATACGCTGTGACTTATACAAGGTGAGTCAGGAAGCGTCATTGTCTCGAAACGTTCTCGTTCATACATTTTTCAAAGACTGTTTCCTTGAAAAGGCTCTTTGAGAAAACCATGAGAAGAATCACAGAATAGACATAGATACAGTTATGCATTTCTCAATTTCAATTTGTTCCATCTATTTTCAGGTAAACAATTGACTTGCCTTTGCATGTGTTTGTGAGGGGTGCCACCTCACTGTCACATATTCATAAACACATGCTGATGCTACAGTCAGAATCATACAAAGGACTCAACTTTTAGTACAGATTTCTCATAATTATGGAAATAGTTTGTCGCTTATATTTACACCAGGTGGTGAGGGGCAGTGAAAAGTCCAGGATGCTCTACGTGGCCAGGATGAGAGACACTGAAGCCAAGGATTGTTATTACCCCCGCCTGCAGTGCACGTTCCGATACAGGTTGAAGCCAGGCCGGTACTTGGTTATCCCCTCCACCTACCAGCGCGGCATCACCAGGGAATTCCTTCTCAGGGTCTTCTGCCCCTGTCCGGTGTACTATTGCAGGTAAAGGCTTCAGTGACTGAATGTTGTTTAAAGCCGCGGCCACCCGGTCAGAGTCAGAACAGGTCCCCTGCTTGTGGTAAGGGGCGACTTAATGGATGGCCCAAATGGGATCCAGGTAGAATGATTTCCCAGCACATCATACATGGCCTTCAGAGGCTTTGAATTGGGCTTACTCTGAAGATCAGGGTTCGAAATGATAGTCACGAATGAATGTTGTTTGTGGTTAGAGGCGAGTAAATTGATCGGGATAGTGAGACCTTTTCTATTATGTGTAAAGGTTGTCACGTGTATTGTTGATATTTTGTGTATTAATTATTACCAGTAAACTTTATATTTCTCGCTTCTGTCAACAGGAATGTGCCCAGACGGAAACAAATCATGGTTGTATCTAGGTACTGAATCTAGCATCAGGAGAGCATTGGATATAATACTACGGATAAAGAGCACGAGGAAGAACAATCTCAGGACCACTTGTAAATGCTCCATGAAGAGCTGATTAAGACAATTAAGACATGTGTGAGGATGAACAGCTGGGTGTTTGGTAATTGGCTATCCAGCAGATACCAGGACCATGTTTACAAGGGATACAGAGAATGAGAAAGAAATGAAATGGCACCACCGAGGACGACTGCTGGGGCATGTAGATGACACTGCGTTAGTTGAAGAACAATGCAAGACTGTTTCAATATAATTACCCATTTAGCCACAGTACTACGGTAGTTTAATGACATCATTTCTCCATTGTAGATTACCTTGCATTTTTTGACATACCATGACCGTACAAGTATTATATTCATCAAACTGCCAGGAGCAAGGTCATGGAGACCCTACTCACTAATATCTGATACAATAGAATGTATTTCTTTGAAGGACACATGTCTCTTCAAGACGAAAGGCAATATTCATACAAATAGCAATTATCCATTTCGTCAATACTATCAGTTGGGCCCAGCATCGATTCAGTCTGTTAATACTTGAACGTGACTGTCTTCATTTTGGGCAGTGGATTGTATGCACTCACAATCTACTACTGTATCTTACAACGTCCAGGTATAGTGGTTACCTAATGAACAGTTATGACACGGAGGGTAATATGTGATGTTACTTGAACGAAGGAGTTGATTTAATGGTGTGTTTTTCCTTGAACACCTGGTGTCATCACTCATTTTCAGTGATCTGTCTCGGATAATCGAGTTTAAAGTCCATTTTCTAAGAGCGAATATTCCATGCTGAAATTCGTACACACAGCAAATAATCATGACTTGAACTGTCATTATCATCACCACTTTTCAGTGATCCATTCATATAAGCTCAATGGTATACATAAAATTACATTAGTCGATATGCGTATAACGAACTACGGTTATAACGAACTAAAATTATTGTCCCATTCAGGTTGCTGTATACGTAGTTTACTGTATAATCAAATACAATAAGTTAGTGACAATGAATGCATAAGGACTGAGTTGACATATATGTATGGATGATTAATTACTTTGAACTACGATCGTTTCTGATTACATGGGTTATCCACTATTGAGCAGTTTTATCATGTAATGACTAGCAACAAGGTCGATTAAAGGTTCATAACCAAGGAGTACCTTCGATGTACAGAATCTGTTGTACTGCTATCAGTTGTTCAAGAGTTCCATCTACCGCTCAGCCTCATCAGTCAGTATTATGACCACGAATCAGTATTGTCACCTTGATAACAAGAGTTGTCATTTCGAGCGAATGAGCTGACTATGATGTTATGCCGCTTTTAGCAATATCTCGGGAAGTCGAACCCGGACGCTTTAACCACTAGGCTACCCCACCGCCCGTTGTGTGTGAGAACGTATTCATCTATGCATTTTCGTTCAGTCAATGTGGTTTCAGACGATAACACTAGAGGGATACAGACCTTGACGAGTTCCATGTTCATTATCAGGAACCGCGGTGGGGCAATCAACACATTCAATAACATACATCCTAATCTCTAACAACGTATTCGAAGTCCAGGGTAGAACAATTCCCTGGTAACCTACAGGTTACGTGTCATTGTAACTTTCATTAAAATATCAACCAATGATTTGTCCGACTCAGGTGTCGATTATTTTCAGGCCACCGAAAAATAGCTGGAAATATTGCAGAGCACCGTGTTCAAGCAGCGTCTCTTATCAAAATCTAGCTTTATTGTTTGCAAATCATTGAAATTTTGTCGGACCCAGATAACATTAGCCTAGATAGTTGTTGCTTTCATATCATTAATAACCTATAATCAATAACCAGAAGCCTCTGTAATGATTGTCATATTCTGGGCCTCATTCCACAAAGCACTAAGGTAATCGTAAGTCACAAAGGTAACCTTAGTGCAATGTTAAAGAATGGGAGTTAAGGTTAACCTTAGTAAAGGTTGCTTCGTGAAAGGAGCCACTGGAGTAATAAATTTATGCATTTCATTTTATACCTGTACAATCTGTTACATGTATCATATTCATGTGTACCCATTTTACCCTTGATCAATAAAGCAATAAAAAAATTGAATGATGAAGTTGAACCAACAGCTTCCGTCTCAACAGCCAAGTTTTTTTTTAACGACATAAAAATATGTCTTCAGTCTTTGATCTTGAGCTTGTTACAAGATTTCAGAATGAATACGAGAGTTGTTGAACAGTGCCTTAGTAACATCCAAGCGTGTTTGGTTATTTATTCATAAAATGGATTCTCAGGTCCTGGGTATGGTGCTGACGATCCCAGATCAATCACGGCGAACCGGGATTCAAACTTAGGATCATAAGTTTCTGACACGCTGAAGGGGTCAACTGGGATACGATGACATGTGTTGACCAAGTCAGCGTGCTTGACATGTTGGTCTCTTACGACAAGCATGGCTTGTGGAAGACCAATTCTAGCCCGGATCTTAAGGAGTCCAAGTGTTGGTAATCACTTCACTTAGACAGTTATAAAACATAACCCATAAGTGGTTGTTGCTTCAGCTACCATCTTGATTAGTCACAATTAAAACACCGTTAACATCACAGACCTAGACATTGTGCTGAAACCTTTATTGCACCAATATGTAATATTTCAAAACATTTTTGGGGATAAATTAATATATTTCGAAAGTAATGAAGGTCAAAAGTAAGACTTGTTCGCACAAGTTGTTTGGGAGATGCCTTTTGAAATAGTGACTATTTTTAGTGAAATATTCTGTGTCTCTTCAGAATTTCTTTTTGGGGTAATGATCGATGATGCATGATAAGTATGGTATACAAGGTTGGAAGTAGCTGATTAACATTTCCTGTCCTCGGGTGATCTCAGAAAAGTACATATCGAAAAAATGAGAATATTAAAAACAATTCAAACTCATCAATAAGAACGTATAAAGGAACTTATATGAACAAAATCAAAATGTATATAAACATACTGAATAAAGCGCCTTTTACAAGATTACAATGCAAATATTAAAAAAAGGCGTTAAAATTATAAATCAAAGAAAGAAAAACAACAACAAATCATTAGGGCTACATTAAGAATTATCTCAATCAGCATACGATCAAAATCAATAGACTGAATCAAATATTTGAGATAATAATCAAAACCCTCTGTATCCTCTATGGTATGAATAATTGAACATGTTACTTTAGAAACTCGAAAATGTGATTTAAAAGTCAAAACTATCAAAAAGCACCAATTCACCACTAAACTTATTCATGTGAAGAAATGGTGTCCGATCTTATGATCCAGGAACAAGTTTGTGCTATGGAAACTCGAAACATATTCCTTTTAAAACGATCCCATGCCCAACCATCCAAAAGAACTGATTTACTACAAAATCTGAATGTACTACATGCACTACATGTTACGAAACTGTCCACATTTCAGCTTTAAATCAAAGTTGTTAACATATTTGCCAAAATCAATAGTCAAAGTATAGCTTTGGACTATCAATGGACCACATTTGGAAAAGTCGTCTGTTTAGAGTCTTCTCTGGAAACAAATACCTTGGGTTTTTTTAAGTCAGGGAAAACGTTGTTGCCATGGAAACTCGAAACACGTCGTTAGGATGATGATACATTAAATTATTCTTGTCAATCGAATTGACTCGAAAGGCAGGATCCTCAATTAGTTTCTTGTGGAATTCAATGATCCCAGGGTCATGATTTAAAGAATTTACAATGTATGCATTTGCAGGTGATGTGAAACGTTACGTTTACTCGATGATTTACTACTACTAGCAATGCTCCTAGGTATTTGTTTTGAACAACATTTTACCGGTAGTGCAGTACATACTTTTTCAACTTGAGGTATTTTGATCCATAATACCTTTAACCACTATTTTGTTTTTTGGTCCCAGTGAATTGAATTTCAAGTTACAATGGATGTATTCTTAAGCGCTTACGTTTTATATGTATCTCATATATTAGCATGAATATATGCAGACTGCTCAGGGCAAAAAAAGATAGAAAGGAAAATTAACATGAAAGAACGTGCATTGGTCGTACGGCTTCATCTTGTTCTGTGACACTGTTTGTTAGAAGACGCCACTGATCATTAGGTTGAAATGATGTCCTCAGTTTCTGCAATAAGAAGGATCCCAAATAACTGTGCAGTTCCAGAATGTCTCCTGATCATATGTCCTAATTGCAACATATATGCCATTGGCAATGTTTGTGGCAAAGACAATATTGTATTTATAATTTATAATAAGAAACACGTAGATCTGATGTTACAGTTCTGCGTAATAGTTTACAAAACTGAAAGGAAAACAAGAAAAGCTGATCCTGTGCACAGTTGCATCCCTTAAGCGTGTGGCTGATTCAACGTTTTCTTGGTCTTTATTCTGGAAGCACTATTACCGGGTTCGTGGTTACACCAAAGTGTTATCCGTCAATGACGGTAGTCGCTCTGGTCCTTACTCTCACAAACTGCCACGTGAGATATAGATGAAACAAGAAGACATCAATATGCCCCGCCACAGTGTTCTGTTCCTATTTGGTTCCTGTATTTTAACTCCACCACGACATTCATATCCTGAAAACATACCAGATTTGGTTTCCCTAACTGTAACAGTTACTTAGAAAATCTGTTCCCATTGGGGATAACGTGCACTACGTTGAGAAACGCATGACAAGGGCCATAACTCTGTAAAACATCGTAGCATGGTTTCTGGTTTCGAACTCCATCAAGGCTTTTATCTCGTAAAAACACTTACCAAATTTGTCTTCCCTATCGATAGCGGTTTCAGAGAAAATCTGTCCCCGTCATCTCGGACGGAGCTCAAACCTACATGCACGTCCCACTTCGTGGCGGGGGATAATAATGCCCAAAGGGGTCTAAAACACAAACGCAGTAACAAGAATGCTCAGACTAAGATTAAAGGGGTCACTTTGTGGTCTTATAAGCTACATATTCGCGTTCTTCCACAACATCCATCCATTGAAATGGTAAATTTGTAAACATGTCACTGTTAATTATACCTCTGTGATCGTTGTCCCTTTCGTGGTGTACACGGTCCAGATGAAAATGATGGGCAGCGGTAATATGGAAATGCTGGAAATCATCCAGCCAACTCCTGTTGCCCAGGGAGGGTAGATGTAGTCTTCGTATTTAGGCGGTCGGTATGAATACAAGGAGTATCCAAGGATAATCTGATAAAGGAAGGATATAAATGTTAATATTACGGCATTTAATTTTATATCACAGCATGACTAGTGTCCTTAAAGTGGCACATGCTATTCGTAACAGCCTGAGTGGCTGCTGTTCAGTGGCGGTATACATGGCCACTGGTGTGGTTGATAATATATTTGACTTTGCTGAATTTTCTAAGTCGTCACGAGAGTGTGTAGTGGGAACTGAACTGTGGACATGACGACATAACAACGTATCTAAGAAGTTAAATATGTTTGACATCCTCACCAGCAGTTGGAGTGGACATACATATTTGATGGACCACATCATGGCTCGTGGAACCGACTTCCCCCCACATGGCTGTGATGTCTCGGTTCAATCTCTCTGTGCCTTAATGCAAAAAGTAAAAGATGCATGTGTATTTCAATGAATGTTTTAGATCCATACTGGACAACTATTAAATATATACACGTTTTATTCCATCCCATCAGATATTACATCGTCGCAGTTTACATTTATTGGTGGAAGGTCCAAATGAGGTTGCTGGTTATCTTTACTATGACTTGCAGTAGTGCACATTAACATTATTCCAAACTATATATGAGCTATATTTACTCGAGAGTACAGTGAACAGAACTTCCATTATTGCTTAGCAAGAAGACTACTGGAAAATATGGCTTAAAATATAAGTTTACAATAGTATAATTGACGTCCTATGCAGCTACGAAAATACACAGTGGTGTTACACCCAGCAAACAAGTCTTGTCCTCAAGAGTTGAATCAATGGATTGGCTCGGTGGCTTAGTTTACTGACTGTCATTGCATAAATATGGCGTAGAACGATGCCTTTCACTGGATACGTTAATGTAGACTCCGTTGTTTACAGATCGCGAAACGATAGCTCCAAAATTGCTGGGTGTGACATTGAACAAGTAACACACAGGACAGATGGTAGAAAGTCTTACCATAGCACCAACTAACAACAAAGCACTCCAGCATGGCGAACACTCCTATGGCAGGAAAGTAGTTGTACCAGTCCACCAGAGTCACGATGTAGATTCCGCCCTTGGAATACAACATATACGTCTTACATATATATTATCACAAACCTTGATCAATAAGTGTAACTGAATGTGTCATGGCTTCCAAATTGGTCAAATCAATTTCATCATGAATATGTCACACTGACGTGTTACGACACAGTTTATCGCACTGAAAAGAAACAATTTTTAAGGACAGACAACTTCCTTTTTGCAATTGATGGCCACGATTCGGTGTAAATGCAAACAACGTTATCAAGCAAGTCATCTACACCGAAACATCGCATCAATTTGAATGATGTTGACTATCCATAAAAATGGTTCCTCTTATCACACCAGCTTCTAAATGTCACTTAAAGAAGTTCTTTCTATCGCCTCGTGAGCAATTTTAAGATGGGATGTGTGCGGCGTCAACGCTACACCACCATTGTTGGTTCACATAGTCATTTATTATCATTTTGCGAGAATGACAACTAGATAATACAACATCGTGTTAACGTCCATTTTACGATTCCTGACATGTGTGAGCTTCGACGTTAAACAACACAATGCAAAGAAGAGATAAGACCTATCACATTCAGAACTAAATGAAAGAAGGTGAATAGTTGTTGAGAGATGTACATATTTCCATTTTCCGCATCTACCACTGAAGTTCCTGAGAGTGAGAGAGACCAAATGATTCGGACATAGCACAATGACATTACGGGTCATATGGGTCATAAGGTTATTGGAAATACTTTACATATGACATTAAGCATTTGAATTACTTATACCTGTGTGGTGCCTGGCAGAGCAAGCATAAAACTGACCAGAAGAATCACGAAAAGGACAATACTTCGTCGTTTGCCGATTCCACTATAAGCGTCCTCAATGGCCCCAAGCATGATCTCCAGTCCTGGTAACTGTTCAAGAACATCACTTAATAAAACTTGAAGAACAGTCTAAGGTGGTGCTTGTTACCATCCCCTTCACTATGGTTACTGGTTTCCTGGATGACATGATACCCTGAACCAGAATATATTGGCATGGTCGAGTTAGATCTACATTGGTTCTATTGCTTTCATAAATGTCTTTTAATTTTTGTTTCTTACACGTTACACGTGATTTGTTCCGAGATAAATCAACTGTACCAGAGAGTCAATTTCAAGGGTCATCAGGGCCAGGAATGTCAGCACAGACCAGACATGTGGCAGGGGAAGATGAGTCACGACTTGTGGGTAGACAATGAAGGCCAGGCTGAAACCTGAAACGGACATACCGTAGAAATGTGTATCGATTTTGATAAATGACGATGCATTAATAAATATTGTATAAAAGACATTACAGCACTAGAAGTTTACTTCACTTCCCCTATCATCTTCACAATGGTGACAACGAGTTTCTCGAAAATGAAGCAACTGTTTATACTGTAATCCAATAGAAAAGCATCACCATATTTTATCATTGATGGAATATACAAAACGACATTGAACGCAAACTGTACTTAAAGTAATCTGACTTTGACAGATACACCTGATGCACACCGAGAAGCACGTGTATCCTTGTGTGAGTGAGTGAGTTAAGATTTAACGTCACATCGGCATTATCTCAGCCATATCGTGACGAGAACAATGTAATGCATATCAATAAAGAATAAATTGAGATAATAAAAACCTGTCATCGAAGGACAGTAAAACTACTAGAATATCACAGCTCTCAATTTAAAACTAGTACACTATCATAGAAATATATCACTATAGACAACAATACAACATAAAACCGGGCTATAGATCACCAACAACTGACGGCTGACCACCATACCTGGGACTTACAGCACCTTCGCTACCTGCATGGACCCTAGTTGTATTTACATCATCCCTTCAGCCGCTGGTAATTGTGGGAAAACTTAGCCAAAATTATAATCACAAAAATACTACGTTTTAAAAAGTTGGTAAGTTTAATTGTAATTTGAAAGTTTTGGGACTTACGTACCCTCTCAGAGGACAATAATTATACAGTACTTAAACCCCCTTGAGGGTAAAGCCACTAACAATCTGAGTTATTAAGTTAAACTTCCAATCATAAAATATTTATCTATTTACAAATCATTGAACAAATCTAATTATTTTAAAAGTGCAATAATTAAATGAGAACTTACATTATTAAAAGGATCCTTCATTGTTCGTGATTTGAAATAGTTATCCCTTGTGATGGAATATTCAACACAGTCAAGCAAGACATGCTTGACCGTGATTCTCTCATCACAAGGGATGCAGAACGGAGGATCCTAACCTTTCAATAGATATTCATAAGTATATCTGGTGTGGCCAATAAATCTGGACTTAGAACCAATACCAATATTGGTGTTTTATTTCATGTAATTTATTAATACCCACTTGGGTGTCCCACTTCTTTTGCATCAGATCACGGATATAAGACCTAATAGCAGCTTTGTAATCAGAGTATGGGATCAGAAGTGGTGTCACAGATTTGTTGAGTGCTGCCTTGGCAGCAAGATCGGCCATTGTGTTCCCAGACATGCCAACGTGGGTGGGTAACCAACAAAAGACGATGTCGTATTGGCCAGTAGCAAGCTCATTATACATTTCAATAATTTCTAATAAAAGTGGATGTTTACAAGACAGATTTTTAGTAGCCTGATGGCGTTAGCTTCTGCTGTGAAAATAGAGCTGTTATTTGGTAGTCGAGAAAATATTGTTCTGGATCCAATGACAGTGGCACATGCCACCGCACCACCATCCTTGGACCCATCTGTACATAAGGATTTGTATGTACTGTATTTATTTTTTAATTGATTATATTCTTGTTTATATTGTAATTCATTAGTTTCAGACTTCTTAAACTTTGTCAGAGCTAGGTCAACTTCAGGCCTCACCAGTTGCCAAGGAGGAGAAGAAAAAAGACGGGAAGGAGATATATTATCCAGCTCAATGCTGGCAGCAGAAATGAATGGTTTAATTCTTAGCCCAAGAGGCGGAACAAGAAATGACTTTTTGTTGTACAAATCCTCATTTAGAAGATTGAAACACACTTTAATGCAGGATTAGACTCGTTAGAATAGAGTTTTGTTATATACTGTAATGGTAATTTGATACGACGTTGGTTAAGGGATGGCCTCAACATAGAGACTATCAATAGGAGAAATTCTAAAGGACCCAAGATAAAGTCTTAGGCCTTGGTGGTGGACAGAATCAAGTAGTTTTAGGTTGCTTTTGCATAATCAAGTTTCGAGCGTACCAATTATCGATATAGGTGGAGGAGGGTAGCTTGATCCCCTCCTCACTTTGAGTTGGATACAACTTTCAACAAATCAAGGGCCTTCAGGCATTTTGCTTTCAGGGATTTAATATGCGGCAAAAAAGTTAAATGGGAGTCGAAAATTAGATCCAAGAACTTGGCCACTTTGACAACTTTGATCAGAGTGCCATTTAAAGATGGTTCTGGGTATTTATGTGCCTTACATTTTCTACAAAAGTGTAGACAATCAGTTTTGGACTTGGAAAATTTAAAGCCGTTTTCCAGACACCATTTATTTATTTTATTTAAACACAACTGCAATTGCCGTTCAATAGTATGCATATTTTTACCACGACAAGAAATATTAAAATTAGCCACAAAAAGTGATCCATCAATTGAATCGTGTATAACCTTGGATAAACTGTTGTATTGATGTTACATAAAGCGATAGACAAAATACCGCCTTCAGGGACACTCTGATCCTGATGATAATGATCAGACAGGGTTGAACCCACTCGGACTTGAAATTGCCTGTCTTTTAAAAACTGTGATATAAAAAGAGGCAAACGGCCTCTCAAACCAAAATCATGTAAATCCTTCAAAATGCCATGCTTCCAGGTCGTATCATAAGCTTTCTCAAGATCAAAGAAAATTGATACAGCATGTTGTTTTTTTACTATAGCATTTTTAACAAAGGATTCTAAACGTACCAAATGATCAATGGTACTACGATTTTTCCTGAAACCACATTGAATATTTGTTATAAGTTTATTGGTTTCAAGATACCAAGTTAATCTATTATTCACCATACGTTCCATGGTTTTACAGACACAGCTAGTTAGATATATCGGTCTGTAATTCGACGGATCTGTATGATCCCTGCCAGGTTTTGGTATTGGGACTACAATGGCATTATGCCACGAAGGAGGAAATTCTCGAGACGTCCATATTTGGTCAAATATATCTAAAAGTGTCATCAGACATGGTTCCGGTAAGTGTTTCAGTAGCTGGTAATGTATATTATCATCACCCGCTGCAGTGTCATGAGCCTGCTCAAGAGCAGTATGTAGCTCATGTAATGAAAACACTTCGTTATAATCTTCACCGTTATTGGAATCAAAATTAAGTTTGATCTTTTCCTGTTGTTCCTGATATCTCTGAAACTCAGGGACATAATTTGCCGATGATGAATTTTTGGCAAGAGTTTCGCCAATTTTATTTACAATTTTAGATTTGTCAGTTATTAAATTATCTTTAAGATAGTGAACAGCAGATTTTGAACCTTTGCCTTTTATTCTCTGAACCATGTTCCACACCTTAGACATAGGCGTGCGTTAATTTATATTGGAGACATACTTCCTCCAAGATTGTCGTTTGTTTTGTTTGAAGGTACGACGTGCCTTCGATTTAAGTATTTTAAATTTATTTAAGTAATGGGCAGTTGAATGATGACGGAAATAATGTTCTGCCTTTTTCCTCGCTTTTCTGGCATGTCTACAATGTGTATTAAACCATGGTTTCCGAACATGAGGAGTTGTAGAGGACTTTGGTATACACTCATCAGCTATTTGCTTTAAAACGTCAGCAAAATTCTGAATGGGATCAGTTATGTCACTGAAGCGTTCAGGTCGTAATTTCGATTTACATATATTTTGAAATTCGGACCAGTTGGCCTTTGAAAAATTCCATCTTGTATGCGATGGAGAATCAGATGGAGTTATTTCTGACAGGATAGTTGGGAAGTGGTCACTTCCACAAAGGTCATTGTGAACAGACCAATCATATTGATTGAGGAGGTAAGCATCTGCAAGAGACAAATCCAGAGAAGAATCAGTGCCAGTTGCAGGATGCAGATAGGTGCTTGAATCATCATTATATATACACAGGTCATTATTGGAAATGAAATCTTCCAGTATTTTACCTTTAGTATTAGTGTTAGTACTGCCCCAGAGCGGGTTGTGGCCGTTTAGGTCACTCATAATAACACAGGGCTTCGGGAGTTGATCATAGAGTGAATGAAGATCGGTCTGCTGAAGTGCCGAAGAAGGCGGAATATATAGAGAGTATAATGTAAATGCTATACCCAGAGTAAGTTGCACTGTAACAGCTTGGAGATTAGTGTTAAGTGTAACAGCACTGTGAATAACATCCTGTCGTATAAGGATAGTAGAACCTCCAGTGGCCCTATCACCCAGAGGGGAAAAATAATGATATCCAATGAACCGACGTTAGTTAAAATTGTCTGCCTTCTTTAGGTAGGTTTCCTGTAAGCAGAATGCTGATGGTTGTAAATCCTGAATCAACAACTGTAATTCATTGAAGTTGGTCTTTAGTCCTCTACAATTCCATTGGACAATACGTGAAGAAACTATTTCTTTGGCGGGTTAATGGGGGATCTACCCCTTGTCTTTTTTGAGGGCGACAAGCTGTGAGCCCTGTACTGGATGTTTTCAGAGACATCCATGTCTTCGAGAGAACAAACTTATTGTAAATTTGGATTTTGTCTTCTGCCCCTTTTGAGGCTCTGCCACTAAGGTATTTTCTTGAAGATTCATTGATTGGTTTGATTTTATTTTTCAATAATTGCTTCCCATTATTTCCAGATGGAAGTTTGGAAGTGGACTGCAATGATGATCGTTCCTGGGAAGATGGCCGAGTTTGAACTTCTGTTCTAGCAGGTGTTGTTGATACAACTGTTTGCGTTGACTGGTCAGGAGAGTAGACTTCGGGTGCATCTGTGTCAACCCATGTCAAATCAGTTTGACATTGTGTTGATGAAGTGGATACAGTTGAAGTTACATTTTGATTCGTTCCGGTCCTCGTAACTGGAGCATAGGACTCATTTGGTTCTGGTGTGTGAACAACACGTTTTTTGGCATCAACAAAACTAATATTAATTGTGAATTTAATTTTATTAATTTCCATTTGTTGTTTCCAGATTGGACATTCTTTTGAAAAAGATGAATGAGTACCAGAGAAGTTGGTGCATTTTTTTAAAGTTGCTATCACAATCTTCAGTAACATTGTTTTTTTCGCTGCAGGGAGCGCATGTAATCGAATTTGTACAGCTGTTTACACCATGATCATACTTTTGGCATTTAAAGTATCTCATTGGGTTGGGAATATAAATGTCAACGTAGAGATACCCTGCTTTAATCGATTTTGGAACAGTTGGATAAGAAAAATGGAATAGGTAGGTGTTTGTTGGTTTAGTTTCAGTGGTTTTCCGGGTTGTCAATCGTTTCACAAAAGTTACTCCTTGGTCTTTCATTTATGTGACTATGTCTATTTCATTCATATCTGCAAATAATTGGTCCCGGTCTCTGACGATTCCTTTGCTTGTGTTTTAAGTTCTATGTGGAGATACCGAAACAGGTATTCCAACAAGCAGCTCAGTTGACATCAAATATGTGGATTGCTGTTTCCTGCTGCATTCAATGAGCAAAGAGGTTGAGCGCAATCGTTTGATATTTCGGACCTCACCTGCAATACCATGTACGCCCTTTGACACTGCAAAAGGATTTAATTTTAAAGGTGACTTGTCAAGAGTCTCGAGAACTAGAAATCGAAGCCAGTATTCAATTGAGTTGGATGGTCGTTGGTCGTCATCATCATTGTCCAATTGACGTTTGTTTCGTTTTAGGGGGGTTTTGTATTCCATAGTATAGTGTAAAAGGTTCATCACCCGAGCTCCCCACCCGCCACGAAGTACCACACAGACAATGCTAAAAACAAGTGGATATCCGACTTGCAGCACCAAGGATACTCAGATGATATACTCCAGCAGAAAAACTAAAAGTTTAATTATCCCAGTGGATTGGCCCATGAGCCACCGCCTTCTGGGCATAAGACTCTAGGCAAAAGAAACAATTGTTATAATTTTAGCTCATTCAAATTTATATCAATCAAAAAATTGTGCAATATAAAATAGAATGCACAGGGCTTGGCATGACCAGCCGATTGGTTGAACCGGGCCCATTCAACCACCCGTCTAGGTGAAGTCAGGGCCGAAGTGGTGTGTTGGGCAAAGGAACACTGTTCCTGGACCCAGAGCCCTCAATCACCAGACTCCCGTCCTCCACCGACACAGGGGCGCAACCCACGGCAAACGGGTTGGTGGACCAAATATACCCCCGGGTCCACAACGGGGGGTAGAAGAGCTCTTAGCGTTAACCAGCACCCACCACGAGGAGGTGGCTCTTCACGGGTGCCTGCATCCCTGTGTGATCACATGCACGTGCCCCACTATTTGCTGAAAATCCCCTTTCACCTGCACATCACGTGTACATGTGTGAGTCACTGAGAGAGTTTAGTTTTACGCCCCACGCAGCATTGTTCCAGCTATATGGCAGCGGTCTGTAAATAATCAAGTCTTGACCAGACAATCCAGTGATCAACAGCATGAGCATTGATCTACGCAAAGGGGATATCATGACATGTAGCAATCAAGGCAACGAGCCTGACCACCCGATGACGTTAGTCGACTCTTACGACAATCATGGGTTACTGAAGACCAATTCTAACCCGGATCATGACGGGTCGCGATTCTAATGGATTTAAGTATATCTTTATTCACACAGTCTATTCACAAGCTTCTAGTTAAGCGGGCATCCTGTTTTACATTTCACTTTTATTCATTGCATCACACATAGCCTTCAAACGAACCAGTCTGCCGTAAGTGTAATTGTTACTGAAATTACCTGATGACTCAAACGCCTCTACAGGAACTCCCAGTTGATAGGCAACATGGCCCATGATGGCAAAGAACGCAAAGCCAGTTAGGATAAGCCCGAACATATCGACTATGCCAGAAAGTATAGCATCTCTGGAACACAAGATATAAAAATACTTAATATGCCATACAGTTTAGCAAATTCAGCGGTATGAAGGTGGAGAGTTTAGTAAATCGACTCTGGATCAGAAAAAATCCAGTGATTGCCATTATGACCATTGATCCATGCCTTAGGGACAAACTGACATTGAATCAACGAAGTAACTCTCTCTGACCAACATACCTATTCATTATATCTTTATTATGGAAGGAAACCGCCATCTCCTTATATACATGAAACACATCATACCCGGTACATCGTACTCAACAAAGGCTTATTGTTTACCTAAAACAGTTGTTTGTTACTTTGTTGTGTCCAGACATTGTTACGATGTTGCCCATTGCTATAGCCAGAGAATACAACGCCAAGCTGCACGCTTCGATCCAGATCTACGTAAATGAAAAACACTACAAGAAAAGTTTGTATATATATATCCTGACATTACAAAAAGCTAGTCCACACACTGGGCAGGATGAGCCTGTCTGTCATAAGCTCATCAAAAGTATTAAATATCGCATTATATTTACAAAAAGTACATTTACTCCAACACTAAGTGAGTGAGTGAGTTAGATTTTAAGTCACACATGGCAGTGTTTCAGCCATATCGGTATGAAAGAAGTTCTACATTATAATACAGAAAGTTACATTATAAAAACCTGTCAACGGAGGACAGATGAAATAACTAGAATATCAAACACTGAAATTATATAAAATACCTAAAATTGCATGTAATGAAAGTAAATCTTCCAGCGCTATCCGTTATATAGATATACTATCCCAAAAAAGAAACGCATAGGCCAGAAATCTGTTGCGAAAATGTTGTATGTTCAAACATGTATCACTCGTCCACAAATAGACTTTGAGAAATGGATTTTTACATCAGTTTAGAAGAAGTTAATGTTTATACAACCAAGTGGATAATTTTAGATAACGGAGACGTTGAGCGCGATGGTGACGACGTAGCACAGTCCCGACGTCGGGTCTCCTGGCTCTCAGTTCAATCTCTCTCAACCTGTTCCGTACAGTTTGACCGGATAGCCTCCGAAGTTCAGGCATCCTGGCTGCTGTGCTCTCACCCGTAGCAGTGCGAACACGCATATGTGGTACCCGGATGTACCGATCTTGGGCTGCAGCGGTGACTTGAGCTCTGCCCGTACGAGGACGGTCATTTGTTATACCTGTTGGTTGTAACGAGCTGCAAGCCGAGATATCGTGCTCAGACTAACATGCAGACGCCTGGCAATAGAAGATTGGTAATCTCCAGCGTGCATTCTTTCAATGGCGATGTTCCGTGTCGCAGAGTCAAGACGTGGCGTAGTGATTTCGTCTTGAAACTCGTTCAAAACGAATGCCGATTTCCGAAAGTAATCAGGATTATTTTAGCCAGACAGTGCATGCTCTTTGCCCGACAATTTCAACTGGAAGGTGATTTCGGTTGCCTTGTGGCGATGCCTTTTTAATCCTTGTAAGAAATCTCATCAAAATCAACATTTTCTGGTGAAGTCTATTTTTTTACTTGTGCAATTGTGTAACATCATGTTATCACCGCTTTTGTTACATATTTTGAGGATTGTTTGAACACAAAAGGTAATTAATAGATTTAAAAAAAAATACAAAACGCCTATGCGTTTCTTTTTTTGGATAGTACATGTACGTTTATTGATATTTTTCTTGTTATTTTCTTATCGTTATTAAGATTCATGTTAATGGTCGTTATGCTTCTAATAAAAAAATATATACGTACTCTGGGCTCTAAGCTTTTCGAATTTAGGGTACACATAGTAGTAAATTCCGTCGGCAGACCCCGGAAGAAGACATCCCTGGACGAGGAACACTAGGATGAGCATGAGCGGAACACCTACAGTGATGTACACCACCTGTAATGATAATGTGAAATACAGCTTTGTGAAGTAAAACTCAACTTGCCCACTTTATGTTTGAATAACAAGAAACGGAACTTAATCCATAGAAAATGGAAAAGAGAGTCACCACACCACGCATAATTTGAAAGGACAAATCATCTGAGCGATCCAATGATGGAACTGGATGAAGGTAACCTCTTTGTTAATGAACTAGAGTAGTAACTTGATAATATAAGGAGTAATCACTGGTTTTGGAAAGATAGTCCGGACACACGCACGCAGGCGCACGCACGCACGCACGCACGCACGCGCACGCACGCACGCACGCACGCACACACACACACACACACACACCATGGTGTCAAAATAAATATTCTTGCCATGGAAACGGCAAAAAGTTTCTTACCTTGCCGGAGACCTTGATTCCCTTAAACGCGAACAAGAACATCACCACACAGGTAACTGCCATACATCCAACTAAGGGCCAGCGTATACCTCCGATGTGTTCCAGGCCATCAGTCATCTGTAACACCTGCAGTCTACGAACAAGAAACACCTTACAACAAGCTCTTGATGAATGTACGTGTCCAAAGACCAACACATTTTGATGAAACGTCTGTCGGGTTAGTATGAACATTATTCATCTTCGTTGAATTTTTTTCAAAATATATGATCACGAGACTATTGCTAACTACAAAATGTACATTAAAATCACAAGGCACGCAGGATGGTTTCTTAGATTTCAGCTGGCATTATTCCACAAAGAAATAACGTGGTGAGAGTTAAGCCATCCACAGATGTGCACATATATAGAGATTATTACACGAGCAAGTGTGTCATATGGTTTATACGAAACGAGTGTGAAATTGTGTACACAATTTTGCACGAGGTTCGTATAAATCGTGTGGCACACTTGCGAGCGTAATAATTTCTTTATTATCCATTTTATGCATGTACATTTGAGCAGTAAAAACCGTTAAAAAGTGTGACAGCCCTGTTCATTGGCGTCACGTTCAGTTGTTTAAAGACGTCACAAACGATGATATACGGAATCAATGGTTGCATATGATATATATGACACTGGTTATGTTTCGCCATATGGATAATAAAGTATCTTAACACTCTTCTCATCAGACGAAATTGTGAACGCCCTTCTCATAAAAAAGCAGCACACAAACAGGTTTGGTTGTAATTGCAAATGAAATGTGTATTCGAACTGAAAAATATTTCTATACTATACTATTATATTACATGCATCAGCTTGGACCCACCTCCAGAATTCTTCCGCAGCAGTCATGCCTGGGGCTGTGAAGGAATCTCCAGGAGTTACGTTAATGACTGCATTTGGTGGGAGATGGGTAACATTGGCTACTGTATTGTTGTGAGTCCTGATGCCGAGATCAGCCACACAGGCTGGGGTGTTCCAGGGCTGGTCACAGTTGTCCCAGGGCAGCTTGTCGAGGAACGAGTGGTAGAAGTAGTACATGAACCAGGCGAAGACTGGTAGGTAGCAGATTAAATACATCCACGTGACCAGAGCAACGCCAACACCAATTCCTGAAAAAGTAATGGGTTTAACCTATATCCATCCATTTATTGCGTTCATATAAACTAACGGGCAAAAGGAAAGATACCAAGTCGAAATCACTGATATTACAAACGACAAACCACCACTGTGAAAAAGGAAAGTGAATAATTAAGGATTATGGTGTATCTCTGAGACATGGCTATGGTGGTACATTTGTTGGAAGCTGCAAAGATGTGTATTTGTAGACTCGTCAAAAATGAAACAGTAAAGAAATATGTACAATATATTGAATGAGCTGTGCAAGATGTCACATCGTATTGTCACATCTCTCTGGCCTGTGGCAGAGGTATCATGCTGGCCGCATGGGACTCATCAGCTCTCGATGGGGTGAAAGGTTGTACAACTGAATAAGCTCGGTGCGACATATACCAGGGGGTATACAAACTTTCTTGTTATCAGATGACGTATTTAGGACAGAAACTTTATTTTGATTTCTTGTAATTAAGGCTTTTGTACATAGTCACCATCCAGAATTAAACATTTTCTCCAAATGCAACTCCTGACAAAAGTTCTATTGAAGATTTTTTCCTGTGATACAGAGGATGTAGGGATAAAAGGCTGTTATTCTGGCCCATTTCGAGTTCGAGTCCCGGAGCATTCCTCTCACATGCACTTTGATACTTAAAACTGAACCTTTGACATTTCTCGTAAACACAACCACATTCATGAAACACGTTGTGCACATGCATTACCTGCACCTAGGCCCTGTAAAAGCACAAGGAATTGTGGAACTCAATCACTTTGAGAAAATGCCAGACTTGACACAAGACGAAAGGAATCAGGTTATCGGTATGGTCAGCCAAGGTGCTTCAGATGTGATGATTGCCAGGCACTTTAATGTGCATCCGTCCACTGTAAGTCGACTCAGACAACGTTTTCGGGCTACCGGAAGTGTTGCTGATCGTCCGCGACCTGGTGTACCACCTGTGATAACAGCTCGACAAAACCGCAATATCCGAGTTTCACACTTGCGAAATCGGTTCCAAACAGCTGATGATTAGGCAAGGAGGACAATTGGGACAAGTCAAATCTTCATTTCAGCGCCCAAAAGGTGCAAGGACGCCTTGCTGCCTTCAACATCCGGTGTCGTCACCCGTACCGTGGTCCAACCTTATTGCATCGCCACAGACTTGCCAGACAGCCAGACTTGGCAACAGGACATGGCCAGATTTCATTTTTTCAGATGAATCCAGGTTTAACTTATCCTGTGCAGATCGACGTCATCAGATTTATCGACGTAAAGGAGAAAGACTTGCGCCAAACTGTGTCCTTGAACATGATCGTTTTGGAGGGGGTGGTGTCATGATCAGACCACAGACCATCAGAGGCTGCAGACCATCCAACAGCTGTGTGTGAAAAATGTGTGTCTTTCAATGCCCCAAAGACTGCGAGCATGTCTTGCAGCGCACGGTGGACACACACGATATTGACTGCAAGTGACCCCTCCTTTGTGTGATGTTGTTGCGTCACTGATGTTGTTGTTGACTTGACATTTTCAGATGAAATTATTCACAGATGTTCACTTAAAACATATCTGCCAGTTAGGTTTATATATGTTGAAATTAGTGTGAGTAAAGAAAGTATGAATGTCAAATTGCATTTTTAATGGCTTTCAGTATAGTAAATGTACCAAAGACTATTTACATCACTTTATTCAATCTTGTACTAGTTGATCCTAAACACGAGTAATCCAAAGTATGGAGGAGATTGAGGCGTGCAGTGTTATCACGTTTTTGCACTGCCCCGACAAATTCACGAGGAGATGTAATCTTTTTATGGGGAAGATAGCCCATCTTACGATACTGAGATGGAAAAGGAATTTTCACACGACCACATTTCCTTCACAAATGAGCCAAGAACTGGACGCCATTTTGACGATACCAATGATGGTGGTGGTGAAATTGGGTTTAACGTCGTGCTTGAGATTATTTCGCTCATATGACGACGTGCATGCGTGTGTATGTGTATGTGCGGCTGCTTGTACTAGCCCAGACTGAAGCTGGTTTCATAGTGCTAGCCCACTGAGATACCATGCCGCAGTGAAGCATGAATATCCCACTCAGACATATTATACTGACTCCGAGCCGACCAGTCATTCTTGTACCCATTAATGCCGAGCGCCAGGCAGGGACCAACAAGTACGTTTTTAACGTTTAACGTTGGTATGACGCAGTCGGGAATCAAACCAGCGACCTTCCGCTCTCCGGGCGGACGCTCTAACCACTACACCACGGAGGCGGTCCGCATATTTACGAAGTGCAAGCTAGTGCGCATACACAGGAAAGCGCAAAGTGATACACATGCCTTACTCGTGTCCATACAATATCTAAAGACAACTCGTGTAGTATTCTGTATGACTAATACTGAGAACCTCCATTAGACGATGTACAACTCCGGTTTACCTTTAAACGGTGGACACATATTCCAGACGTTGATAGAACCACTTTGCGAGAACTGACCAACAACCATCTCCAGGAAGACGCAGGGAATAGCGCCGACAAAGGTGAAAAAGATGTAAGGTAGCAGGAAGGCTCCTGAAAAGGAATAGTTCCGCGTTCATTCCATACCAAAATGTTTCTTTTCAGTAAACTGCCATCTTTAAAAATAAATATCCTAAAATTTAAAGGGAGATAATTATATTATCATGACACAAATCTGGCTAGATTCATAATAAAGAAATAGGTGTCTGTTGTGTTAAGCTCCACAACAGGAGATCTACAGTTCAACTTCTGTAAATGTTGGATTACAATATAGAAGTCCATTAACAACGTCTCCCTTTCATTATCCAGGCAAGTTAATAGCTGGAAATTAATAACAGCTTTCAACTACTCGACATTTCAGAAAACTGATCCAACTGCAGAACTTCAGAAATGGTCTTCTGCTCAGTTTGTCGAACGACTTTCAATAAAAGGAGGTTGATCACACAAGACACCCGGATACTTTCAGAATGTTTAGAGTATCCTAATCCGAGGATTCAGTGACAACACTGATGTCCAATGTTATTCCCCAACTGATCTTATGTTCCCTTCTTTGTCCAGGTGAACTACTGGCTTGGATTTGCATGTGTTTCTTTTTGTCTCTGTTTGGGCAGGATACAAAGACCTGATATGATCACTATTTCACTGTGATTCATAAACAGATGACAAAGTGAGTGAGTGAGTGAGTTATATTATTTAACGTCACATCGGCAATATTTCAGCCATATCGTGACGAGAACATATGTTACATTGAAATGGAATAGATGCATATTATAAAAACCTGTCTACGAAGGACAGTAAAACAACTAGAATATCACAATTACAACTAAAACTAGTGTGGAAAATTAAAACTAATAGCACTATTTGGACAATACAATATAAACTGGCTATAGATCGCAAACAACTGAAGGCAGATCACCAAACTAGGGACCATGGGGATTTACAGTACTTTTGCTACCTGCATGGACCTTAGTTGGATTTATATCACCCCTTCAGCCGCTGGCGATTGAAGTCAAATTTAGCCAAAATTAAAATGACAGGAATACTACATTTAAAACAGCTGGTAATATTTAAATTTCCTTTGAATGTTTCGGGACTTACGTACCCTCTCAGGAGGACAATAATTTTACGCTACTTCAACCCCCTTTGAGGGTACAGCAACTAACAATATCAGTTACTAATCTAAACTACCAATAACAAAATATATATCTATTTACAAGATCGGTTAACAAGTCTAATTCTTTTAAAAATGCAATAATTAAATGAGAACTTATATTACTAAAAAGATCCTTGATAGTTTGTGATTTGAAATGGATATCCCTTGTGATGGAATATTCAACACAGTCAAGAAGGACATGCTTGACCGTGGTTCTTTCATCACAAGGGATACAAAACGGAGGATCCTCACCTTTTAATAGGTACTCATGAGTATATCTTGTGTGGCCAATACGACATCGTCGTATGATGACCTCTTCAAATCTGGACTGACAACCCAAGTAAGTGTAACCGATAGTTGGGTTTATTGCATGTAATTTCTTGATACCTACTTGGCTGTCCCACTTCTTTTGCATCAGATCACGGAAATAAGATCTAATAGCAGCTTTGTAATCAGAGTATGGGATCAGAAGTGGTGTCACAGATTTGTTGAGTGCTGCCTTGGCAGCAAGATCGGCCATTGTGGTCCCAGAAATAACAACGTGGCTGGGTAACCACCAAAAGACGATGTCGCATTGGCCAGTAGCAAGCTTATTATACAATTCAAGAATTTCTAATAAAAGTGAATGTTTGCAATAAATATTTTTAATAGCCTGAAGACACGAAAGAGAATCGGAAAAGCTGATGTATTGTTTATATTTACGGTGTTTATTAATATATTTAAGAGCTGTTAATATAGCGTTAGCTTCTGCTGTGAAAAAAGAGCTGTGTTTTGGGAGTCGAGAAGATATTGTTTTGGATCCAATGACAGTGGCACACGCAACTGCGCCACTATCCTTGGACCAATCTGTAAATAAGGATTTATATATATTATAATAATTTACTTTTTAATTGATTATTTTCTTGTTTATATTGTAATTCATTAGTTTCTGCTTTTTTGAATGCTGTTAATGTTAGGTCAACTTGTGGCCTAACCAATTGCAAAGGAGGAGAAGAAAGAAGAAGGGAAGGAGATATATTGTCCAGCTCAATGCCGGCAGCAGAAATGAATGGTTTAATTCTTAGCCCAAGAGGCGGAACAAGAGTAGGTTTCTTGGTGTATAAATCCACATAAAGAGGATGAAAGACACAGTTATATGCAGGGTTTGATTCGTTGGAATATAGTTTTGTAATATACTGTAAAGATTGTGCGTTGTACAAGAGATGGTTCATCTGCCTCAACGTAGAGACTGTCAACAGGAGAAGTTCGAAAAGACCCAAGACAAAGTCTTAGGCCTTGGTGGTGGACAGAATCTAAAAGTTGCTTTTGCAGGCTCCACCATAGACAATGGAGCCATAATCAAGCTTCGAGCAGACCAGTGATCTATATAGATGCAGGAGGGTAGCTTGATCCCCTCCCCACTTAGAATTGGAAACGACTTTTAATAAATCAAGTGCCTTCAGGCATTCATTTTTTAGGGATTTGATATGAGGAAGAAACGTTAAATGGGAGTCGAAAATTAGACCCAAAAACTTGGCCTCCTTGACAACTTTGATGGGAATGCCATTTAAAAATAGTTCAGGGTCCTTATGCGGCTTTTATTTTCTACAAAATTGTATACAATTTGTTTTTGACTTATAAAATTGAAAGCCGTTTTCAAGACACCATTTATTTATTTTGTTTAAACATAATTGCAGTTGCCGTTCAATAGTATGCATATTTTTACCACGACAGGAAACATTAAAATCATCCACAAATAACGATCCATCAACTGACCGTTTAAAACCTTTGATAAACTATTTATCTTTATACTAAAGAGTGTGACAGACAAAATACTGCCTTGTGGGACACCCTGATCCTGATTGTAATGATCAGACAGGGTAGAACCTACGCGGACCTGAAATTGTCTGTCCTTTAAAAAAGTTGGCTATAAATTGAGGCAAACGGCCTCGCAATCCGAAGCCATGTAAATCTTTTAAAATGCCATATTTCCACGTAGTGTCATATGCCTTTTCAAGATAAAAAAGATAGACACAGCGTGTTGTTTATTAATTAGAGCGCTTTTAGCAAATTATGCCAAACGCACTAAGTGATCGACAGTACTTCTGTTTAGGTTTAGGTATTGGTACGACTACAGCGTCACGCCATGAGGGAGGAAAGTTACCTGATGTCCAAATATCATCAAAAAGGTGTAAGAGGGTCTCTAAACATGATTCCGGTAAGTGCTTCAGAAGCTGATATTGTATGTTATCAGCCCCTGTAGCAGTATCGTAGCCTGGTCAAGAGCAGTATGAAGCTAATGAATAGAAAATAGTTCATTGTAATCTTCCCCATTATCTGAATTGAAATTAATAGTTTTCTTTTCCTGTTTTTTTTTTTATAATTTTGGAATTGAGGTAAATAATTCGATGAGGAAGAGTGTTTGGCCAAAGTTTCTGCAAGTTTATTAGCAATATCAGATTTACTAGTTAATAATTCGTCTCCATCTTTAAGATGCTTAATGCTAGATTTAGAACCCTTACCTTTTATTTTCTGGATCATATTCCATACTTTTGATATCGGCGTTCGTGAATATATTTTTGATACATAATTTCGCCAGGATTGACGTTTAATTTGCTTGAAGGTATGCCGTGCCTTAGCATTTAATATTTTAAATGTATTCAAATTATGGACCACAGGATGGCGACGGAAATAATTCTCAGCTTTCTTCCGTGCCTTCCTAGCCTGTTTGCACTCATTGTTGAACCATGGTTTTCGTATGTGTGGAATTGCAGAGGATTTGGGGATACACTCATCAGCAAATGTTAATTAGTTCATCAGAGAAATCCTTTATAGGATCAGTACATTCTATAAAAAGTTCAGGTTTAAGTCTGCTACAACACAGAGCTTGATACAAAGGCCAGTTAGCCTTTTTAAAGTTCCATCTTGAATATGGGGTAATATCAGATGGGTTCACAGGTTTTTGTATAGTAGGAAAATGGTCACTTCCACAGAGGTCATCGTGGATTGACCATTCAAATTCATTTAGTAATTCTGAATTCGTAATTGATAAGTCAAGGGCAGAATAGGTTCCAGTACCAGGGTGTAAATACGTGTTGGAACCATCATTATAAATACATAAATCATTATCTGAACAAAACTCCTCTAGTAGTTTACATTTTGCGTTTGTATTTACACTACCCCAGAGTGGGTTGTGCCCATTTAAATCTCCCATAATAACACAGGGCTTCGGGAGTTGTTGGTCATATAGAGCTTGAAGATCAGTTTTGTGAAACGTTGAAGACGGAGAGATATATACAGAACACAATGTAAACGCAACATGTAAAGTAATTCGCACTGCAACAGCCTGCAGATTAGTAGTTAGTGAAACTGGGCTATGGATAACGTTCTGTTTGACTAAGATGGAAGATCCTCCCGTAGCCCCGGAGGTGAAAAACAATGATATGCATTGAAAGAACGCAGGACAAAATCATCTGTCTGTTTTAAATAAGTCTCCTGCAGACAGAACGCTGATGGTGTTAAGTCCTGGACTAAAAAACTGCAATTCATTGAAATTAGTTCTTAGTCCTCTGCAATTCCACTGTATGATATTATTCTGATAACCTATCTTTTAGGGGGATTTATTGGGGATCTACCCCGCACTTTTTTTGGGGGTGGGCGACAAGCTGTGTGCCCTAGAACGGACGTTTTCGGACACGTCCATGTCCTCAAGAGATCCGTATTTGTTGAACAGTTGAATTGTATTGTCTGACCCTTTAGGGGCTCTGCCACTTAGCTTTTTCAAGGAATCTGGCTTTTTTACCTTTGGTTTTAGCAATTTGTTGAGACCTTACTGTTGACTGTGAGGATGGTTCATGATCAGAGGATGTCTCTGATTGGATTCGGGAAGTACTAGGAAGTGGTTCTGCTGTTTGAGTAGACATGGCAGGTGCGATAAGTTTAGGAGAATCTGTTTTCATCCATGTTAAGTTAGTCTGACAACTCGTAGATGATTTGGTGACTGCAGATGGTGTTGCTGACGTTCTGGCAATGGAAGCATAGCTTTGTGTTTGTTCTGAGCTTTGGACCAGTTTCTTTGCGTCTGCAAAACTAATATTTTGGGTGAATTTTATTCTATTGATAGCCATTTGCTCTTTCCAAACAGGACAGTCTTTAGAGAATGATGGGTGTTCCCCTTTGCAGTTAGTGCATTTTTTGACATTACTGTCACAATCTTCTGTTTTGTGTGTCTTTTCACCGCAGTGAGCACACACAACAGACAATGTGCAAGTATTTACGCCATGGCCGAACTTTGAAACACCGAAGTGGATTTGGAATGTACGTGTCCACACTGATATTACAGTACCCAGCCTTAAGTGATTTGGGAGCAGTAGGTGAAGAGAAGGAAAAAAGATAGGTATTAGTTTTAATGGTTGTGTTGTTTTTTCGGGTTGAAAAACGTTTGACATATAGGACACCCCGATCTCTCATCTCAGAAACTATATCAAGCTCAGACATGTCTGCAAGCAAGCGATCGCGGTCTCGCACGATTCCCTTGCTCGTGTTCAGAGTTTTGTGGGCTGTGATGGTAACTGGAATGCCAACAAAAGTATCTGTGTTCAACAAGTTGGTTGACTGTTGTCTTTTGCTGCACTCAACCAACAGCGCACCAGAACGCAATCTTTTAATGCTCTTTACATCACCGGCAATGCCCTGAATACCCTTAAACACAGCAAAAGGGTTTAACTTCAGTGGTGTGTCATCTTTTGTTTCAATAACAACAAAACGTGGCCAGTAATCAATTTGTTTGGGCAGTCTGAAGTCGTTTTCCGGAGGATCATTTTCAAGAGGACGTTTGCTCTTTTTAGTGGGGGTTTCGTAAGCCATGTTGAGTTTTTTAAATTTCATCATCCGAGCTACCCACCCACCACGGAGTATCACAAGGACAATGCTAAAAACAAGTGGGTCTCCGACTTGCAGCACCAAGGATTCTCGGATGATATACTCAAGCAGAAAAACTAAAAGATTAATTTTCCACCAGACTGACCCATGAGCCACCGCCTTCTGGGCATAAGACTCAAGGCAAAGTTCATAATATACATATTACAAAGTCAAATGCTGTTCAATAACAAGCCAAGACCAAAATGTAAACAATTCCAAATAAAATTTTGTGCAGTTAAGTAAAAGCCATGCACAGGGCTTGGCGTGACCAGCCGATTGATAGGACCGGTCCAGTTCTACCACCCGTCTAGGTGAAGTAAGGGCCCAAGTGGTGTGTTGGGCAAAGGAACGCTGTTCCAGGAACCAATGCCCTCAACCACCAGAATCCCGTCCTCCACCGACACAGGGGCGCAACCCACGGCGAACGGGTTGGTGGACCAAATATACCCCCGGGTCCACAACGGGGGGTCGAAGAGCGCTTAGAGTTACCCAGCACCCACCACGAGGAGGTGGCTCTTCATGGGTGCCCCGTTTTCAAGGCACCACTGTAGTTGCCGTTCAATAGTATGCATATTCTTACCACGACAAGAAATGTTAAAATCATCCACAAAAGTGATCCATCAATTGAATCATTTAAAACCTTAGATAAACTCATGATCTTAATACTTAACAATGTTACAGACAAAATACTGCCTTGTGCGACACCCTGATCCTGATTATAATGGTCAGACAGGGTTGAACTCACTCGGACTTGAAATTGCCTGTCTGTTAAAAACTGTGATATAAAAGAGGTAAACGACCCCTGAACCAAAATCATGTAAATCCTTTAAAATGCCATGCTTCCAGGTAGTATCGTATGCTTTCTCAAGATCAAAGAATATCGATACTGCATGTTGTTTTTTACTATTGCATTTTTGACAAAGGATTCTAAACGTACCAAATGATCAATAGTACTACGATTTTTTCCTGAAACCACATTGAATATTTGTTATAAGGTTGTTGGTTTTAAGATACCAGGTTAATCTATTGTTTACCATTCGTTCCATGGTTTTACATACACAACGCGTTAAAGAATTTGGTCTGTAATTAGACGGATCAATATGATCCCGGCCAGGCTTTGGGCTTGGGACTACAATGGCATTACGCCCGAAGTTGGGAAATGCCCTGAAGTCCATATTGTATCAAAAATAGTATGAAGAGTTTCCAAACTTGATTCCGGTAAATGCTTCAAGAGCTGATAGTGTATGTTATCAGCTCCTGTTGCTGTATCATGAGCTTGCTCAAGGGCAGTGTGGAGCTCATGTAATGAAATTATAGTCTTCCCCATTGTCTGAGTTAAAATTTATTCTCTTCTTCTTCTGTTGTTTCTGATATTGTTGAAATTCAGGGACGTAATTTGACGAAGAAGAGTGTTTGGCGAGAGTTTCACCAAGCTTATTGGCAATGTCAGACTTACCAGTTAATATATTGTCACCATCCTTCAGATGGTGAACAGTAGATTTGGAACCTTTGCCCTTAATTCTTTGGATCATGTTCCACACCTTTGAAATTGGTGTACGGGAATTTATCTTGGAAACATATTTCCTCCAAGACTGACGCTTATTTTGCTTAAATGTGCGTCGAGCCTTGGCATTTAAAATTTTAACTTTATCTAAATTATGGACAGTAGGATGTCGGCGAAAATACTTTTCAGCTTTCTCTCTACTCTTTCTGGCCTGTTTACAGTCAGTAGTAAACCATGGTTAACGAAACGAATATGTGGAATTGCAGAGGACTTGGGTATGGTTTGATCAGCAATCTTATTGAGGATATCAGAAAACAATTGTATAGGATCTTCGCTGTTCGCAAATACGTCATGTTTTAAGTGTTCAACACACAAAGCCTCATATAATGACCAATCAGCCCTGGCGAAGTTCCTTCTTGATGAAGGTGGATCATCACCAGGGATAATTGTTTTGAGAACGGTGGGGAAGGGATCACTCCCACAACAGCAAATCCCATTGGCAAATGTTTTGTTAGATAACAAATTGAGAGATTGCTGTCTCCGTGCACATTCGACCAGAAGTGAACCACTACGGAGACGAGTGACGTTCTTAACTTCACCAGAAATGCCGGATACAGCCTTAGAAATGGCAAAAGGGTTTAATTTTATCGGAAGAAAGTCAACAGCCTCGATGACAAGGAAACGAGACCAGGAGTCATCATTGGGGGAAATAGTTCTTGAAGATTCGTCAACAGGTTCATAACGCCTCTTCTTTTTATTTCTAGATGAACCAGGTAGTTGTTGTGACATGGTGAAAGGAATTTTTTTCGGCATCCCTGCTCCCCACCCACCACGGAGTGTCTACAAGGACGATGTCAATATGCACCGGATCTCCAAGATGCTGACACCAGGGATACAGGGGTGTTATACTCCAGAGTCACCAAAATTAGTCACCATGCACAGGGCTTGGCGTGACCAGCCGATTGATAGAACCGGGCCAGTTCTACCACCCGTCTAGGTGAAGTAAGGGTCAAAGTGGTGTGTTGGGCAACAGGAACACGGTTCCAGGATCCTATTGCCCTCAACCACCAGAATCCCGTCCTCCACCGACACAGGGGCGCAACCCACGGCGAACGGGTTGGTGGACCAAATATATCCCCGGGTCCACAACGGGGGGCTTGAAGAGCGCTTAGCGTTACCCAGCACCCACCACGAGGAGGTGGCTCTTCACGGGTGCCCAGATGACAAAGACCCGCCATGAATAAGGAAAGAATTCTTTCACTTTATATGTAGTAATATAAACACAGCTCGTAGGGATTTCTTGCACTAAGCATCATCGTGAACTCCAGCTCAGTTTCTAACACACATTTAGTAATTCCGGTTTCGATCTATCGTGTCTGGGTTCAGAAGACATTCTCACTGAATAATATGATCTATAGAAAATCAATTGTTCAAGCCTATATTGTAACATCATTGGTAGTTTCGGGTTGAATGTGTGACTCGGGTTTTAAAAAACATGTTTTCCTGCATATCCTGCAAAAGTACGGTACCGAGAGGGAACTGAAACTGTTTGTTAAATAGATCTGCTAAAGAATTGTGTGAAACATACAGAATATTGAATTTCAGTCTATACCTACCTCCACCGTTACGCATACATAAGTATGGGAATTTGACCAGTGATCCAGAGCCCATGCTGTAGCCAAGGAGACTGGTCAGATAGTCTAAGTGGTGCCGCCATCGCTCACGTTCCATAGCCAGATGTAACACTGCTCTCTGTATTCTGTCGCCTTGTCAACTGACGTGCTGTTTGGAGCTCACCACCAATTGTTATTTTACTCATTGAATCGTCTTGCCATGGATGACTGCGTATGCACATATAAATTAGCGTATAATATAACGATATGATTTTGTCAATTTCTCTCATTTGCATGTGGATAACAAATACTCTCCCTCTGACAATGAACAAAAACAATAACAACGCTCAAAAAGAGAGCAACTGGATTGAATGTAAGATCTCATCAACCTGCTGAGACCGTTATAGCGACGGGTATATGTGCGGAAAGTGTCTTCAAAGACTGAAATGAGTTTCGACTGTGCCACTGGGAGTTTCTGATAAGATTGCAAAGGTTGTAGAAATCTCATCCATATCCATAATTAGGTCACAGAAATTTGTCAGAATAGTCATTCACACCTAAAACCCCTGTCAAAGGAATTTGTTTTGCTGAACTAATTAACCATTTAATGAAAAACCACAAATTCCTTATCAACAGATCCAGACTCGATTATACCCAGACCGCTGAAAAATGACTCAACACATAGTCCATGAGTTACACCCTTCATTTCCATGTTTGACAGCCAAGTCGAGGGATACAATGAGTTTTCGAAAAGCCCGACGTCTGTCCTACATTAAATCATGTGATGGAGATCTTATGTACATGTGTAGCTAAGGTAATTTTGCCGCCATTTTTCATTGCTTTTCTAAATCACCGAAATAAGCATAAAAACCCGAGTTCACAATTTGTCAACAATATTTTTGGGATGAAATGTGTCTGTAATTAACTTGTTTTAAACTAAAGAATATTTTGATACTTAATTTGCATGGTTTAGTACAAAGTACAATGCTCACTGCTGAAAACAGAGTGACTGCATTGAGATAACTAGGTGAACACATTTAAGTGCAGTCATCCTCCCTTAGCCATTTGGACTGGCTTTTTCAGAGATGACTCCGGATGGGGAGTCTTTTAGAGTATTTGATGGCAATCTGATGTGTTGAAGATAATCCAATCAGCTACATTGCAGCGATACAGATATTTCGATTCAGATGCGGGAACGTTGAAATGATGTTGGTATGCGGTCCTCCAGCTCACCCTCCGTGGAACGTATCAGCCAGCAAGAGGAGAAGCCTTCAGAATCCTCTAGAATTACCCGATCCCTCTCCAGACAATGCTTGGGAAATAAAGGAGACGGGAAATCTTGCAGTTAAATTGCTAAATGGCTGCTGGGCTCAGCAGCTCTCTCGGTTTGATGTCATGCAGATATTCTCATACTTGTCGAGGTATTGAGTGCACATGCATATGTCCGAAATGTACCCCTGCCTGCAACATTGTCACATTGCTCTAACATGGATGATAATGATTCATGTTAATGTCCCCAGCATAAAACCTCTGTCAGTAGTTTCCTATCATAACTTGTCAATTATTAAACAACGCTGAACATTGCATTTAGTGATAAAATATAAGTAAATTATAAAGGCTAATTTATTCACGCAATTTCAACATTTACATCGAATTGAATGTGTAAATATAGTGCTGAAGAAATATTAGTCAATTAAAGTTGTCTAGTACTGAAGAAATATCAGTCAATTAAAGTTGTCTGAAATGAAGAAATTCTGTGATTGGAAAAATGAAGGCCATCGCAAAAACATATTTAGTTGGGTATCTAAAATAACCGTTATAATAGATACAAACTGAGAAGCATTTTGGTGATTTGCCCCTCCGTTTATGATTCAGATTTGCTCTGGCTCGTGGACTAGAGGCACACATGATGCCATTTGGGCGTCGTTTGGACGGAAACTGCGCATGGCTTCTATTGTTGCTGAATACCTTCATCAGGAGAACATTACCACCTTACCAAGTTCAGCATACAAACCAGATGTGAAAATGGGTTTCTCCAGTTCCTTGGAGTATCAGCTGATGATCTAATCTCAGATTCATCTCTGAAAATTCCTGTCTAAATGGCTGAGGGAGGGTGACTGCACTGAAATGCAGAAACGGGAACCTTGAGTAGATGTTGATATGCGCTCTTTCAGCTCAACCACCGTGAAATATCCGTCATAATAAATGACCTCCGATAACTCTCAACGAACTTGGCGCTGCCCTGCAGGAAGAATGGGATGGAATGTAAAACAATTGTAGCTGGGCATCCAAAATATGCATCACAAAGAAACATACGGTTGAGAGACGAGACTGTCTGAATACCATAATGGCTATTTGTCCCCCTGTTTAGTAGTCAGATATGCTCTTTCCCATGGGATAAACAATGAAAATACTTACTCATCTAACTGTGAAGCAGATCTTCAGGCGTTTACATTCTTCTGATAATTTGATGACTAATTGATTAGTGCTTCGTTATTCATGTTTTATGCTTTTGCGATTTAATGAACAAAATATAAAAACAAGGACTTCAGAGATCGAACAAGTCAGCGATCCATTGAGCCTAACCGAGCTTGAATCGGTTACTTTTAACTCACTCACTCCATGGCTTTGTTTTACAATAATTTGGGACGGCTGAAATGTTCTGGGCGTAACGATCATGGACTGGTCTTAGAAGGAGTTGCCAGATGGTTATCTTTTGGCTGTCTCTCTACTGCCAATGTTGCTTTATACACGAAACAAAAATATCCATTTACCGACGGTTGGAATTGTGTTGGTGTTATTGCATGCTTTCGTCTTTGACAACCACGCTATTCTAAACTGTAGAAGAAATAAATGCACTTTTCTCTTGTCCAACTGACTTGACGTACAAACATGTCCGACCCGTGAAGATCCGGTTAAGCTTGGTTTTCAGCAACCCATGTTTGTCGTTAGAAGCGACTAACGGGATCAATTGGTCAAGCTCGCTGACTTGGTTGACACATGTTATCGTACCCCAGTTGCGTAGATCGACGCTCATGCTGTTGATCACTGGATTGTCTGGTCCAGACTCGATTATTTACAGACCGCCGCCATGTCTGGAATATTGCTGAGTGCGGCGTCAAACAACAAACAAACCAGAAAATATATGTCCATTGATCATAAATGCAATTTCTATTGAAGAAAACACTCTTAACATGGACCAATATATGTATTTGGGAAACCCATCCCAGTACAATTCACCTCGTATCTGTACAAACTGAAGCATGCCAGTGTGATATAACCCTTTGAAATAATTTGGACATTTCACAATTTCAAACCTTATATCTGATTAATTTTCTAAGAATCAATTTAGTAAGGATGAAAACTGAACATGTTCACGCTTGATAAAAATCAGTTGGGCTCAACAACCAGCCCTGTTTTAAGCCCCCAAGACATGAAACATTCTGAATAAACGTTGCTATTTCGGACACAAGCAGTCACCTTATTACATATGCTTTCAATTATTGTACATACATATATCTTTCGGAAATACAGGTGCAGATGGTCTTCCTTTTCTCTTTTAGTAAATATAAACATAACGTCCACAGTTAAGTGATCTTCCTGTGAAACGTTCTTAACAACTCAACAAACTTTGTTATTTTTTTCTAAAATATGTGAAAATAATTTCCCCAAAGACACTTACTTTTAACCAGACAAAACCCTTGAAGCACTTTAACTTTAGATGTTTGGATATTTTTTATGTGGTAAGAATGAGAGATGATGGTCAGATATGATACCCAGTATTTAACTCCCCTTTTATTTTGCATATTAAATAGGAAGAAGGTTTCCTGGTTTAATAAGCATTGTCCTGTTAGTCGACTCTTAAAACAAGCATGGGTTACTGAAGATCAGTTCCGACCCGTTTCTTCTCGGATTTCTGGCCCCTGTATAGAGGCCTTGAGACCCTGAGATCAAAGACAACTCATGCGATTTATCATGAACGTACAGACATGGAATCGCAAAATATGGCAATGAGTCTGGCTCAGTGATGAATCACGATGTTTTTACCAACGCAAAGAAGGAAGACAGCGAGTCCACCAATGTGTTTGTTAGCGAACAGGTCGACGGGTCAAGAGAGTCGGTACCGGAGGTGTTATGGTACGGAGAGCAAATCCTACACACAGAGGTCTGCCTTGGTGGTGTTTCAGGTGAATCTGACAGAAAATCAAGACATAGACGAAATTCATACTAATCCGTAGACTTATTATGTCTGTACCAAAGAGGCGTGAAGGAGTGATAAATGTACACAGTGGTGACACCAGGTTCTGTTCGGAACACCCCCCCCCCCCCTTCCCTCTGTAGACGTATACGTATGTTGCTTCTTAAAGGACAGTATGTATCGCCATTATGCCTTCAGACCCTATGACTACCACCATGATATCACATTCTGTGACTATCACCATGATATCAGACCCTGTGACTATCAACATAATATGAAATATGCACATGCAATTGAACACATGTTGCCTATGCGTTTGAAATGTACAAAAGAACAAAAAACACAATTTCACGAGCCTGTGTCAAGTGTAATAACTCTTTTTCATAACTAATATGTGATAAGACATAACAGTTATAATTCCTTGGCATTGTTAAAATAATCGAAGTTAATAATCTCTATGGTAACTCCTACAATGCCTAAATGAACTAACGAAGTAGTGCCAAATTACTTTCATCCATGTCTGTTTATATAAGCACATAGGATATTATAATTAAGAGAAAGCTATGCAATACCTTTTAAAGAGTGAGTGAGTTGTCATTGTTTTATAGCATCAGTCCTTGTGGTACTGTCGTCAATCCTCATCAAGCGTATAGCAACAACCAATATAAGTTCATAATCATATTCTATCAATGAATAAAGGAACATCATAATATCCATCAATTCTATTTCTCTAAAAAGACGTTTTTAGGATGTGCACTCCACTTGCATAAACAGAATCCACTGTTAGATCACCTCATGTCCATATTCATAAGTCAGTCTATCGCATCGATAACCGTTGGTGGTAATAATTATATGATATTTTGCATTGATTAAAATATAGAATAGCCAGATTAAGTAACTGAATGCGCATTACAGATCCA